GATGTGTTGATGAAGCCAGATAATATTTACCTATACCATTAATCTAAATTCCACTTCTCTAGACAAACAAGTGGGCACACGGCAGATACTTGATAATCATTTGCCAATCACAATTTGTGAAATTCAAGTTACTCATTAGTTTGTGTCTGAGGTACTTTGGGTACCCCTGTTAGGTATTTTATAAGTCCTATCTCATAAGCCAGAGATAGGACTTATAAAGCAGAGGAGACATGGGCTATATACACTTCATAAGCTGAATAGATGCTTCTGTTTATGAAAAGAGCAGGCATGAAGGTATAAATAGATTAAAAACTTCAAATCTGTTTACTTATTAAGTATTTATACCTCAACCGCTTTTAAAATATGATGAAATACATAAACTATTAATTCAAGCATTAAAAAAAATAAAAAACAAGAACTGATGCTGAGGTTATGGGAGGAGAGCAAAGAGGAGAGAAAAGAATGCCATAAAGTCCATGTCAAGTTCAGCTCTAGCTGAGCACCCCAAGTACAGAGGATGTGTGAGTTCATATAGCCCCACAAGGTACTAGTGAAGGGTACTTTCTGCAGTCCTCAGAGGTCACGCTCTGGGGCACTTGCCCTTGTACCACAAATATGCCTGTGCTCCAGAACTGACAACAGCTAAAGAGAATTGAGGCTCTGTTTGGTAATACTATGAGTCTCTGTTTGGCAACACTCTGTTTGGTAATCATACATATAATTATTTTTCCACTGCATCTGGAGAAAAACTTTTCTAAATTCATTGAAAAATATGTGAAACAGTGCAGTTTCCAACAGAAAATCAGAGGGGTCAGCTCTAAACTGTCTTTTTCCAGAGAAAGTGCTTCTGAGCTTTGCACAGATGCTGAGGGACCTACAGACTGACAACAAAGACAAACTTACACAGGCCCTACAGACACATAGTCAACTATTATCACTTCCTCTATAAGCAGTTTCTACAGGGATCCACCTTTATGTCAAAGAAGTGACAAGGACCTGCTGCTTTCCAGCATCCTTACGGTGGTTGGGATCAATTGGTAGATACAAACAGATATTAGCAATCACCATCACCAATCAAGCTGCTAAAAACTACATTTCCAGGAACCTCTACCAGTGGCTATGATTACAACACACAATTAGAAAAAATATCAGCACCAAGGCTCTAATATTCATGTGGACAGTCAAGTAATAGTGACAGACTGGGGTGTCCAGAGGTCTCTGGCCTTCTAATACCATTCTAATCTGAGTAACTGTTAATAACTTGGGAAGGGTAGAGAATTGGTCTTTCAATACACTTACAGGGTAAATCTGATTGGTACTGAGTCTTCAGTTTCCATACAGCTGGCATCTCTGGATGATATGCGGGACCACCGAGTCTCTAGGGAAATAACTGATTTCTAAGGAAGATACAGTCAAGACAAACAGCCTCAAACGGAAGAATTGTCAGCTGTGTCCTTTATTGAGATCATGAGCTGACCTAGCCTGACAGATGTCTAGGCCTAGGGAGAGAACAAATATATTTAAAGTTTCACAAAAATCTCTATTGGACAATGGATCTTCAAGGCAGTGCTGATTTGTAACCGTAGAGGTAGCATGGTGGGGAGGGTGGGAGAGAAAATGTAGGAAGAACATATATTCTCAATTCTGGAAGGATGGATCTTGGGAAGGAGACTGGCCAAAGCAGCAGGATTGGCCTTAAAAGAAGATATTATATTCTACTAGAGGCCCGGTACATGAAATTCATGCACAGGGGGGAGCCCCAGCCCGGCCTGCACCCTCTCCAATCCAGGACCCCTTGGGGGATGTCCGACTGCCTCTCACAATCTCGGACCGCTGGCTCCTAACCACTCGCCTGCCTGCCTGATCACCCCTAACTACCTCTGCCTGCCTGCCTGCCTGATCACCCCTAACTGATCCCCTACCAGCCTGATCGCCCCTAACTGCTCCCCCTGCTGGCCTGATTGCCCCTAACCGCCTCTGCCTCACCCCACACCCGGGACCCAGGATTCCCTCCTCTGGCCAGTTGCAGGCACCTGGGACCCGGGCTTTCCTTCCTCTGGCTGGCTGCAACTGCAGGGGACTGTGGGCAGGTGGCTTCGCCCGGGCCACAGGCACTGGCACCTGGGACTGCAGGGCAGGTGGCTTGTCCCTCTCCTGGCTGCAGCCTGGCTGGTCTCCATTCCTCTCTTGTGAGCTCCTTTGTGCCTGGCTGGTCCCCATTCCTCTATCCCCAGTGTTGAGTGTCTGAGCCATTATGGGGTGATGGTGTGAGGATGTGATGACCATTTGCATACTAGCTCTTTATTATATAGGATAGTCACATAATCTAGCGGGTGTTGGTGACTTCAGTAGAGGAACAAACAGCTTCACGGAAGCATTATAGAGTCCTTAGCAGCTTTGGGATTTTCTCAGTTGGGTACAGGCTTCTTCAGCAATACACATTGCTATAGGAAGCAACAGCAGGAGAGAAGGAAAAAACATATAACAACTAGAGAACAGTACTTGTGAGTACGTGTACTTTGGAGATGCCCAGAGGTAGTGAAAGACTGATTGTCAACTGGTTCAAGTGCTTGTGATTGGCAGTGGGCAAACCAGAGATAGGACTTATAAAGCAGAGGAGACATGGGCTGTATACACTCCATAAGGGCACACACATAAGATTTGATCAGTTGTTTTTTTTTAATTTATTTTTATTGATTTCAGAGAGGAAGGGAGAGGGAGAGAGAGATAGAAACATCAATGATGAGAGAGAATCATTGATCAGCTGCCTCCTGCACACCCCCTACTGGGAATTGAGCCCACAACCCAGGCATGTGCCCTTGGCCAGAATCAAACCTGGGCCTCTTCAGTCCGCAGGCTGATGCTCTATCCACAGAGCCAAACCAGCCAGGACAGATTTGATCAATTTTTTAAATTTTGGTTGTATTCCAGTCCTTGAATTTTAATTAAAGGGTATGGTCCAGGAAAGAATGATATACTGCATTTCTTGTTAAACTCAAAGGGGAGAGTGGACATTTCTTAATTGTTTTTTAAGAAAAACTTAACAGTGCCATTACCCAATCAATTTTTTTAACTTTATATCCTAAAGCTTTTAGCAATCTATTGCTATATAACAACTGCCCCAGAACTTTTTGGCTTAAGACAACAACATTAGTTAATTTTCATGATTCTCCATGTTGGCTAGGCTCAGTTGGGTGATTCTTCTGTTTCTCATGGTATCGGATGGGTCACTCATGTGAATGAATTTCTCTGTTGGCTCAGCTGGGGCTAGAACATCCAAGATGTCATCATTCACAATGTGCGACAGTTGATGCTGGCAGTTTCCTGAGGTGCTTGGCATTTTTTCCATGTCGACTCTCAGACTCCTGGGCTTTTCTCTTAATGTTACTTTTCCATCTGGATAATACAAACTTTCTTACATGGTAGCTGGCTTCTAAGAAGTCAAAATTCAGAGCTGCACTGTATATTAAAAGCTAGGATTAGAAGTCATTCATGTCACCTCTAAAACATTTTATTAGTTAAGGCAAGTCACAGGGCCAGCTCAGATTCCAAGGGAGCCTGATGAGGGGTGTAGAAAGTCATATTGCAAAGCAGCCTGCAGAATGGGAGGGACTGCGGCATCTCTTTAGAACAATTCCAAGCAAACAAAAAACCTTGTGTAATAAATTTGAACTCCAGGTCAATACTATGCGTGACTATTTTCTATGGGGAATAGAATGATTAATGATTCAGTCAGCATAGCATCTGCTTTCCATTGATGTTCTTTATTTTATTATGTGAATTTAGTGAAACACAAAGGATGCCATATTAGTCTTTGGATAAATGTTTACTCTAAAGAAATTAGATGGGCCACTGAAGACCTCTCAATTCACTCATTTCTCATTCTAGCACACAAGTATTGATAGGTCACAAATCACAGGCTGACTCAAGAGGAAAATTAAGGTCTGAATGAACTTTTTATTACCTTATTATTATTTAGTGCTAATTTTTCTAACCAATGTCATTAAATAAATTAATATACCTATTCCTATAACTGGGAAAAAATTAGAAAACAATAGAGAAAAATAACATTAAACAAATGAAAGTCACTTTCTATGTATAATTGCTGGTTAAGATGAGGATTTTTCCCTTTTTTTTCTTTTGCTTTTTCCTTTTTTTTTTCTTTTTTTTTTTTTTTTTAGTATTTTCTTCTATGGCTGCCCATGGAATCCTGTGGCAGGGAATCATTTATATAAATGTTGGTGAGAGGCTCCACTGACAGCTCACAGGGGTTCCATATTGCCTCTCCTGAACCCTGGAAACTAGACTGTGGGTATATGACACAGGCGGCCTCAACTTGCTGACTGGCACCCCAGAACTAGAGGAAGTGTGCAACGATATGGGAACAGTAAGGGACTACTCATGGTGGTGGAGAAAGAGTAAAGTATCCATAGGGCAACACTGTCATGTTTTCGGAGTCTCGATGCTCTGCCCAGCTTCTTTGATTCCTAATCATTTTCTGAGTCTGGTATTTTAGCCTTCTAATCTCATTGCAGTAAATTATTTGTTTGTTTAAATTATTTAGAACCGGGCAATACTTGTCTTTTTATAACTATAAGCCCTGACAATATAAGTGAAAAGATTGGTTATTTTTAAAAATTTATTGGATGTGTAATAGTATATCATGTACTGTAAATACAGCATTAAAAAAAGACAAGCCTAGCTAGTGTAGCTCAGTGGTTGAGTATCAACCTAGGAACCAAGAGATCACTGGTTCCATTCCTAGTCAGGGCACATGCCCAGGTTGTGGGCTCGATCCCCAGTAGGAGGCATGCAGGAGGCAGCCGATTGATGATGTTTCTCTCTCATCTGTTTCTATCTCTCTATCTCTCTCCTTTTCTCTCTCGCTAAAAATATCAATCCTATATAATAAAAGCATAATATTCTAAGTGTCCGACCAATTGGTCAACCATTCAGTTGACCACTCAACCAGTTGCTATGATGCGCACTGACCACCAGGGGGCAGACACTTCGACCGGTAGGTTAGCTTGCTGCTGGGGTCCGGCTGGTTGGGACTGGGAGAGAGGGCCGGACACGCCCTTGTCCCTCCCGGGCCAGCAGGCCCTGAGGGCCCTGATTGGGGTCAGCTGGCCAACCTCCCGTGGTCCCTCCCCGGCCCGGCGGCCCCCATCGCCTCTATTGGGACTGGACGAGGGACCCCAACCATGCGCAAATTCATGCACTGGGCTTCTATTTAAAAACAAGAAACAACTAAAAAGACAGACAAAATTCTTGCCCTCATAGAGCTTATATTCTAGTTAGAGGGGGTGGGGGAACACACAGGAAGATGATAAATAACAAACAATCCAAATAAACAGAATTTAACTAACCTCTGTTAAATTCACCCTGGAGTGCTGGAGAGACCAATGAATAGATTTCTGGTGTTCAGCCAATGAAGGTTTTGGATTTCAAATAGGGTGGTGATGGGAGCCTGACTCAGAGACAGCCTTGAGCACAGGGAATGACTAGTGGGTCCTGGTGGAGTGCCTGATGGTTTGCTACGCAGAGAAGGAAGCCAGTGTGGCTGGAGTGGCAAGAGAGACAGTAAATGAGGTAAAAGAAGGAATCTAGTGACAGTGAAGTAGGGCCTTGAAACCACAGTCAAAAATTCGGCATTTATCCTGAGTAAGCAGGAGAGCAATCGGAGGACTTTCTTTCAGAGATTTGTCTTGATTTAATTTAGCTTTTCAAGGGATAGCAGGCTGTTAATTTGAGAATAAACTGAGAAGGGGAGGTGTGTACTAGTGAGAGTGGAAACGGGACACCAATTAATTATTCCAAGGAGCAGATGATGATGGCTTGGGCTAGATACAGTAAAGACTGAATTTGTTTATTTTTCCCACTCTGGTTGCTTGTAGTACTACTAGGAGTTCAAAACAACACCAGTGTCTGGCCAAGCCTTGTCACATTATTATTATATAAAGTCTTTCTTGGGTCAGTGTTTTCCTAAAGCTCCATGCCCTAATGAAGAACGCACTATGGTGTATACTTTCCGATTCACTTCGCTTTTGTTTTAAGGCTCTCAGACCCACCACCACTGTGGCTGGCTGGCTGGCTGGCTGGTGCAGGAGGAAGCTGCCTCGGGCATTCTCTGGCTCCCTGAGGAAGCCAAGGAAGTTACTACTCTGGGTGAAGGCCTTGCTTCCCACATATACATTATAAAATCATTTAACTTTGAATTGCCATTAGTACATTAGTTCAGATTACCAAGAGAGCATCAGAGATAAGGTTTAGGAAGAAGGTCCCTAAGGAAGAAACCCTGTGCAGTAAGGATATGGCTGGAACAAGGAACACGCCCAGTCTTCAGGCTCATAAGGACAGTGATCCCTCAACTGGGAGAGCAAAGAGAAGGTGGCGCAGGCAAGAAAATCTTACATTTTAAAAATTATATCTAGAGAAAGGCCCACTATTAAACACACAATCATCAGGATCCACCTGCCCAGGGCCTCAATTTGTTGAACTAATCCCCTTTTAAAGGTCAAGCAGTATTTAAGAACAGAAATGTGACAGGCCCTTTGTGTATAGTTTCTCTCCCATTTTACAGGTATTCTGTGAGGTTTCACATGGAAAGACTGGAAAACATTTACTAGAGGCAGACTTCCAAATCCTTATAGCTACGACCCTGGACTTGTGTGTAACTAGAGAATTAAGGACTAGGAGGCAGAGCTCTAAGGTAGACGTAGAGCACAGTATAAAGTCTTATAATATGTAGCTTCCAACAAACAAAAAAATGCAAAGCTGTTTCTATTCATGACCCAATATCTAATTATAACTAATCTCTCACCCTCCAAATAGAAATATCTAAAATCATTCTCACCCTTGAGTTTGCTCAGTGGTTAGAGTGTCAGCAGGATGATTGTCCCAGGTTCGATTCCGGTCAAGGGCACATACCTTGGTTGCAGACTCAATCCCTCGCCCTGGTAGGGGCATGTGCAGGACGTAGCCAGTTGATGTGTCTCTCTCACATCAATGATTCTCTCTGTGTGTCTCTCCCACTCCCTTCTACTCTCTCTAAAAATCAATAGAAAAAATACCCATGGGTAAGGATTAATAATAAAAAAATAATAAAATAATTCTCATTTTAAAAAAAATGTCATGCAACAAAAATTGCCTTTTGTGTTCAATCCTTATTTCTTACAGGGCTTGCCACAGTCTCAGAACAAAGACACACCTGTCTCCATGCTCCCGGTCAGGCTCACACACCCACAGGTAAATATTTGCAGTGACTCAGAGGCAGTGTGATACAATAGGACAGCAGAAAGCAAATGAGAGTTGGAAATGCACAGGTATGCCAGGCACAGGGCACAGATTCCAACCCTGTATCGAAGAGCTTTGGGACATTGGACAAGGTCCTTCCTCTTTCTGAGCCTCAGTTTCGTCATCACTAAAATGAAGGGATAATGCTTAGCCAACAGGATGATCATGTACATCAAAAGAGACCATATTACAATTGTCAGGTGCAGTGTTGTTCAGTTGGCATGCATGTAGCAGCCAGAAAAAAATACTCAACTAAAAGTGACTTCAATGCAGGGGGTTCTTTTTCTCAAAGAACAGGAATCCCCCTGGGTTGGTGCACAAACTCAAAGGCATCAGAGATCTAGGGCAGTTTCTCTGGAATTTTTTTGGCCGAAGTAGCTCCAGGTATCATGTCCCATATAAGACAATGTGCAAAGGGGAAAGGTGGGCATTCACCTCTGCATGTCTTCCACCAGAAGTCTTCTTGGAAGGCCAGTGCATCCCTCTGACTGCATTAGCCTCCACTCCACTACATGCCTGTGTCTGGGCTGCAAGCGAAGCTGGGAGAGTGTATCCAGCATTTACCTTCATTATGTGAATAGGGCTCTCTCTGCAGCTGGAGGAAAACTGGGTGGGACAGGGCAGTTGGGTAGAAAGGCAATGATGTCTGCTTCTGGTGCTTGTCTTCACAAGCGCTTCTTTTTTTTAACTTTATCTTTATTGTTGAAAGTATTACAGATGTCCCTTTGGTTTTCCCTCCATTGACCCCCTCCACCCCGCACCCACACTTCCCCTTCGCCAGACTATTGTTTGTGTCCATGCACTATGCATATAGATTCCCTGGTCAATCTCTGCCCCCACTTCCCTACTCCTGCCTTCCCTTTCAAATTCATCAGTCTGTTCCATGCTTCTATGTCTCTGGATCTTTTTCAGTTTCCTTCTGGTTTCAATTGGAAACATAATATGGCAGGTGCTAGCAGGCGCTTCCAGACCAGTGAGTTCTGTGAGTACTGCAGTGTGCTAGCCCACTCCCCTGTGACATACCAAGCTCTCTCCCTTTCCCACCATCTACATTCCCATTTCTGAAATATTACTAAGCTGCCTATTATAAAACAACAACAGTAACAAATAGCAGCAAAGGCTTACCTCTGTACGAACATGCTGAGCTAGACAAAGGTTACAGACATGAAAGAAGAACTGTGGTTCCACACTATTTCTTGTCTTGAAATTCCAATAAAAGTGCGTGGTGATCTCAATGCTTTTCCCAGATGGATTTATCTTTGATATGTGATGTGTTACTTTCTGCTCATGCTGGTCATATTCTTTCCCTTAATATATTCCACACAGTGAGTTTTTTGTTTAAAAAGGGGATATTAAATATTTTAAGTAAATGTCATTTCTCAATTACCCAGTGATAGGGAAGGGCAGTGGAGAATAGTGATTTGGGAAGAAGAGCTACCAAGAGAAAAGAATCCTGTACTATTTAGGCTTAGTGGACAGCACTGCAGTAGGCTAGAGACAGTGACTGTATTTAGAAAACAAAGCAGCCAGTATTTTGTAAAGGGTATAGAAGAAAAGAAAGGCCCTCATTAAAATTACCCGATGAAGACACAGGTCTAAGAGGCTGTACTTAGAAAAAGTACACAGACACACTTAGCAGTAAAACCAAAAACTAAGATGTGGACTTCCCAGAGTATACAGCATGGGTAAATGTGTTATAGGATAGTGAGAAGATAGGATAGAGACTATTACCTTGACTATAAAGCTCCAGGTATCTTACTAATTCTTTAATGAGGAGAAAATGGAGGTTAGTCACAGGACAAGCTATGACCCCATTATCCTATGTAATAATAGAGAAACATGGTAATTAACCGTAACTTCACTACCCTTCCCATTGGCTAATCAGTGAGATATGCAAATTAACTGCCAACAAAGATGGCGACTGGCAACCAGGCAGCTGAAGCAAACATGAGGCTTCCTTGCTCCAGTGATGGAGGAAGCCAGGGTTCCCTGCCTGCTGCAGCCCAGCTCTGAGCTCCGGATGCAACAATGTTGCAATTATAGAAGCTAAACAAACCACAGGGGTGCCCCTCACCCTGAAGGGGGTGTGACCAGCTGCAAACAGCCATCATCCCCTTACCCAGGCTGGCCAGGCACTCCAGCAGGGACCCCTACCCTGAAGGGGGTGTGGTCAGTCTGAAAACGGCCCTCATCCCCTCAACCAGGTTGGCCAGGCACCCCAGTGGGACCCCCACCCTGACCCAAGACACCCTTCAGGGCAAACCAGCTGGCCCTTATCCATGCACCAGGGCTCTATTCCTATATAATAAAAGGGTAATATGCAAATTGACCCTAACAGCAGAACGACTGGGAATGACTGGTCACTATGACACACACTGACCACCAGGGGTCAGACGCAAAATGCAGGAGCTCCCTCGGTCAGTGCGCTCCCACAGGGGGAACTCTGCTCAGCCACAAGCCAGGCTGATAGTTGCCAGTACAGCGGTGGTGTTAGGAGCCTCTCCTGCCTCCTCAGCAGCACTAAGGATGACCGACTGCAGATTAGGCCTGCTCCCTGCTGGCAAGTGGACATCCCCCGAGGGCTGCCGGGCTTCCAGAGGGATGTCTGACTGCCAGCTTAGGCCCAGTCCCCCAGGGAGTGGGCCTAAGCCAGGAGGTGGGCATCCCCTGAGGGGTCCCAGACTGTGAGAGGGCACAGGCCGGCAGAGGGACCCCCCCACTGAATGCACAAATTTTTGTGCACCAGGCCTCTAGTATATCAATATAAGCATGTGTATGTATGTGTGTGTGTGTGTATATATGTGTGTGTAAATATATATTTAATATTTTAAAATGAATTATTTAGTCATTTGATATCTGAATTAGATCAACA